CATTCAGCTCAATTTCTCACAGTCCTGAATGATGGTTGTTCTATAGCTCAGTTGCAATTTTGATATGGTAGTGCAAGGAGGAAAGCCTTGTTTACCTATACTGCCGTCTTGATTGGAAGTCCATGGATCTTAATTTAAATAGCTGTGGCCAGAGAGGTGGAGTCACATGGTTAGAGCTACTCTTTCAAAGAAGTGAGAAGTTCTCTGAAAAGGAAATGATGGACATCTCTAGAACACAGGATTAGAAGGCTGAGTCCTCAATTTCCCTAGGCTCATGCTTCTGGTAAAGTAAAACTCTTAAACTATTGATATAGGGGTGTGGTAATTTTCTAGGGCTGCCATAAAAAAATACCACAGACTGAGTGGCTTAAACAACAAAAATTAATTTCTCAAGAGTTCTGAAGTGTGGAAGTCCAAGATCAAGGTGCCAGCAGGTTTGGTTTCTTCTGAAGCCTCTCTCCTTGGCTTGAAGATAGCTGCCCTGTCTTCTTGCTATGCCCTTACATGGCCTAGTGTATTTCTGTGTGTATGAATTTCGTCTTCTTATAAGGACACAGGACAGATTGGATTAGGACCCACTCTAATGTCTTCATTTTAACTTAACACATTAAAGGCTCTATACCGAAATCAGGTCGCATTTTGAGATACTAGGTGTTAGGGTTTCAAAAGATGAGTTTTCAGGTGGAGGACACATTTTAGCCATGACAGAGCATGTCTTTGAGCATGGTTTATATATGCCAGGAAAAAACTATTCAGAAGTTTCTCTTTAAGAATGAAGTACTGACACATGATACAACATAGATGACACTTGCAAACAGTATGTGAAGTGAAAGAAGCCAGACACAAAGAGCACATATGGTATGATTCCATTTATTTGAAGTGTCCAGAATAGGCAAATCATAGAGAAAGAAAGTAGACCAGTGATTACCTGGGTGTGGGATGGAGAGGACTCAGTGACTGTAACTGAGTGTGAGGTTTCTTTGCGGGGAGTTGAAAATGTTCCTAAATTACTGTGGTGATGGCTGTACAACTACAGGAAAATGCTAAAACTCACTGAATTGTATACTTTAAATAGATACATTTTATGGTATGTGAATTACAGCTCACTAAGCTGTTTTAAAAAGCTATTTTAAGAGGAAATGAAGAAAATACTCATTTTTAGAAAAATTTTTACTTTAAACAATTAATATGCAATTTATCAAGTTCCAAGTTCAATGTCCTAGTTAAACCTTAGGCTTTTAATTTAGATTACAGATCTTATTAGCTTAGGGGTAAGTGTAGTAAACTAATGGTCATTTGGAATTAGTTTTTGACTAACTTTAGATTTCATTCACATATTTACTTAATTAATCATCTTTAAACATCTAAAACTGTATTTACAAATTGTATTTATAAATTCAATATTTTATTTCATTCATAAATACTTTTAATGTCTTCATAAATCCTCAAATGATAATTTTTAAATTAATTGTAAAACATATTATGATAAGCCTAAATTTATTTTAGCTGTTCTGATAGTGTCCATGAACTAGTAAGATTTTAAATTCAACTTAGTAGTCTAAATCATGAAGGAATGAAGCAACCCTCCCCCACCCACCCCCAAATAAAAACCTCATAGACACAGGCAGCAGCATAGTGATTACCAGAGAGGGGTGGGGAGAGGTAGAAGAGGATATAGACAGGAAAAATGGTGATGAAAAAGAGGCTTGACTTGGGGTGGTGAACACACAATACAATACATAGATGATTATTGAATTGTTCATCTGAAACCTATATAATTTTATTAACCATTTCACCCCAATAAATTCAATTAAAAAGAAGTCTAAGTCAGCTATTCTGTTTTGCATATTAAATTTTAATAGAGGTTGTCATTGCAAGGCACCAAGAATTAATTAAACATTGTAAGTATATAAAACACCAGCTATACACAGAAGCCATTTAATGATATAGTTTTAATTCTTTCACATTTTTAAATTCTTAATTGTAAAAAGTCCTGTCATTAAAAGATGCACACACACTAAAAAGGGCCAGGCACCATTTCAGTAAACAGAAATCATTTAAGAGTAGAGATTTTGGCAGGTCCTGAGACTGGAAAAACAGATTTCCAGACTGATTTCAGTGCTCTGTCCCAATTGTCATATCTAGTCTTTTCTAGTTACTTTGTCTTGGGCTGAAAAAACAGAAGCAAGGTGTTGGATTCATGTTACATATATTACCTATCTTCTCACTGGGTAAATCAATTGATTAGATTTTGCATTTTTTGACTCAGGAAATATATATCTACACACACATATAATATATATTCAGTTTAATATTTAAAACATATTTGTACTTGTTGGAATATTATAGTCTTTAAGTTATGTACAAATATATAAAATGATTTATGCTTGGGTTTTGGATACCTTACGTGTGGTTTTCTCTGACTCTGTACTCACAGTTTCTGTGGTCATTGTATTAACCATGCATCTATCTTGTTTGTAAAAAGTTTGCATTTTTCTCTGCTCAGCCATGCAGTAGGCTGAGAAGGGTGTTGTGCCAGGTGCTATGCTAGGTTCTGGGACTCTAAGAATGAATAAAACCATTTGTTCAAACTTAAGGAGTTAGATTCTTAGATGGGGAGACATAAATTAATGAAAATCACTGTAAGTACTTTCTCAGTGGCTGTCTGTTTCCATTGAGAAGGAGGGCAAGGACCTTTATTGTCTTATTCTCTGCTTTTATCACTAGCACCTAATACATAAGTGAATGTGCTAAAATAAAGTTATACAGAAAGAAATATAGGAGACCCCAAAGGGACAGCCTCCTAGTTTTATGTGTGGAGATTTGACTGGCAGGTGGAGTGAGGGTGTCATTTCAGAAGTATCATTAAAAAAATCCTTGAAAATGAGATATGAGCTGACTCTTGGGAGATGATGAAAATTAGGTACAACTGGGACTGGGCGTTACTTAGGAATTCCTCTGTGATTGTTGACTTTCTGGTAGTTCATGATGCCAAGAAGAGATCAGTCTGTACAGGCATGCAGCTAAACTATTTGAAGGGCATTGTAAACTGGAGTATTTATTAGTATCTATAAGAATACACTGATATTTTTAGTTGTCCATCTACATCTGCTACACTGGTAGTTCATCAGTGCTAAAGACTATGTTGTCTGTTATCCCGGGGCTCAGCATAACGGTGGGGATAGAGTACCTCCTCATTCCATAGAAAGAGAGAGGAAGGAAGGAAGGAAGGAAGGAAGGAAGGAAGGAAGGAAGGAAGGAAGGAAGGAAGGAAGGAAGGAAGGAAGGAAGGAAGGAAGGAAGGAAGGAAGGAGAGGGAGGGAGGGAGGGAGGGAGGAAGGAAGGAAGGAAGGAAGGAAGGAAGGAAGGAAGGAAGGAAGGAAGGAAGGAAGGAAGGAAAGGGAGGGAGGGAGGGAGGAAATGAAATGAATAACAGCAGGGTGAGCACTGTGCAATGATGAAGTCTTGTGGATGTCAGGAATGTAGACAGTCTATATAATCAGGCTGGCCAAAGTCCTAGTCAAGGGCTTAACTAATGGTGAGTTTGGTAAGGGTTTCAACTCAGAAGTAATACCAGAGGCGTGAATGTGGAGGGTTTCAAAATGCGTCTCTACGGAAAGTGAAGAAATAAATATAAGCGGGAGGTTGTCCTTTCCAGATTCGTAATTCCCAGGTCCCAATGAGCAAGAAGGGAAAGGACCTGTAGCTGGTTAGCTTCGTGATACCTGGACACTGAGATAGGTAGGTACAGGACTGTCTGGTCGCACTCTGTGGCCAGGCTCGGCAAAGAAGCGGCACCAGAACGCAGTGTAGGTGCTGGTACTCAAGAGTGGAAAGCAGGCTGTGTCCCTGGGACTACCGGCTGCTATGAGCGCCGAGTGGCCGCGTACAGAGCACTTTAGGAAGCCCCGTGACTCCCAGGCCTGGGCGCGAGTGCCGAGACCGCGGTAGGCCGGCCTCACGGGTCCCACCTGACGCAGTTCTCAGTAGCTCCCGCGAGTGCTGGGCCAGTAGTAGAGCCTCTCCTCTCCACCCAGCGGGTTGGGGCGAAGAAGGGCTGGGGTCTGCCATTCCCCTTCCATGACCTCCCTCTAGCTAGACGATCCCAAGATGCAGCCTGGGCTTCTGGCCTCTTGCTTTAGTAGACTTTAGAGAGCGCAGCGGCCTCCGGGGGGAGCCCCTCTCGCCTCCCTGTCACAGCCTCCAGGATCCGAAAGGACAGTCACCTGCCACGGATTTTCCTCCGGGCAGGAGGAGGACAGCCCAGGTACTGGGGAGGTGAGCTCGAGAGAGCGCTCAGGGCTCCACCACCATTTCTGGGGTGACGCTGAACAAGCCGGCCATCCTTGAGGGCCATCTCTTTTCCGATTGGTTAACTTCTCTCTGACGGAGCTCCTTTCACTGGTGATTGGTTCAGATGCACCGCCTGTCACCTGCTTCTCTGTGGGAATCTAGGTCGCTTAGGGAAGCGTTGGGAAGAAGTTGGTTGGCTCCTTCAGCCCAGTTTGTTTATTGCAGTGGGAATCAAACCCAGGCGCGAGCCTCGGTCGGTCGCAACGGCCAGAAAAGGAACCAGTAGCCGGAGGAGGGCGGGGGTGGCAAGAAAGTGCAGTTTTAGAAGTAAATAGGAGACGCCTAACTCTGGCCGTATCGCAATAGGAAGGAAGACCTTTCAGAGAGGAGCTGTAATCCCAGGAGCAGTCCAGTGTAGGAGGCAAGGGCTAGTTTCTGTGGTGAGAGAAATGGCTTTCGGGGAGCTTTTTATGATCTAATTGTTTGGAAATCTAATTTTCTAGGTGAGCGTCTTAACAAAATTCACTGGAGAGTTAGTTTGCTTTGACTTTGCCCCAGAGTAGGAGGACTACTGGCCATTCCTAGCCTTCAAAGAGACAACTTACTGAATAATATAACTCTTTTATTGCTTCAAACGGGCAGCTCTCAAAAAAAAAAAAAAAAAAAAAAAAAAAAAGGCGCAAAAGCCATTGAAGAATGGACACCATTGCATATACTGAAAGCATGTTGAAAGGAAAATAAGGTATTCACTTTAATTGTGGTTATTATACAAAAAAGTACCTTTAAGAAAAAGCTCTTATATTCTGAATACTGTTAGGGTAGCTTGATTTTCTTACAGAATTCACATTCTTAAGTTGTTTGATACAAAAATCATGTTACTGCTTTACCTACCAAATATGCTCTTTACTAATTGTGATCTACTCCTATTGTTCTAAAAATAGAAATAAATCTTGACTCTTTAGTAATGTTAATTTGCATTTGATTGAGTAGTGCTACTAGATCTTTCCTTAAAAAATGACATAATTACTGTAAAAAATCTTTGAATTTGTAATTTAAGTTAGAATATGCATGAAATTGGATTGTTGCTTACTCATACACTAGTTTAGACTTGTAGGCTAATTTCACTTTATATTTAAAGTAGTTTGCTTCTTAAACACTGAGTCAGAGTTCCAACAGTTTCTTCACTGACAACCTAGTTATTTGATTGTCCAGCTTCTATTAATTCCTGTGCTATATTACATACCAGACATTGTTAAGGAATAGTTTATTTCATCCACAGAAACACCCAAGTTAGCTCTTAAAGATTGACCTGGTCCTACCCTGGAAAATTCTGAACAAGGGTTAGGGATGAGGTCTGGGCATCTCTATTTCTTAAAATTTTCTCTAGTGAGTTTGATGTTCACTCCCAATTGAGAACAGTTGCTTTAATGACTTGCTAAATAGATGTGTTTAAGAAATTCTAGGCCCTGACAGGGTAGCTCAGTTGGTTAGAGTGTCATCCCAATATGCCAAGGTTGCTGGGTTCCATCCCTGGTCAGGGCACATGCAAGAATCAACCAATGATGCATCAATAAGTGGAACAACGAATCAGTGTTTCTCCCCATCCCCCTGCCCCCATCAATAAAGGAAAATTTATAAAAAGAAATTCTAAAATACTTATGAAACTAATCATTTCCTCCCTCGATTTCCTTATAGGTTAAAAGTAAACCCCTCAGGGATGACATTTAAGTATAATCCCAAACTTATGTTTGCCTAGGCAATATCAGGACATTTCACTGGCACTCAGAAACCTCTGGAACTGACAATTCCAAGTTTAGGGATGATGTCTGAAATGTGGAGATGCAAAGTACTCTGATGCACTTTAACAAACCTCAGAGCCATGCATGGGGTATTTTTTTCCTGTTAGATTTAAGGAAACATCAACACCAAGTCTATTCAGTAAGCTAAATTATTTTTACCTCAACTAAGTACAGTTGGGTTGGGGGGGGCGTAATATGTTTATGAGCTTTACTTTGGGACAAATACCCTTGCTGAAAATAAATGTAAATAATAACCTCCCAATAGCCATTTGTTTATTAAATAAAGATGGTGTAGATTCAAGCTTAAAATTTGTATGCTAACATGAAGTACCCAGATATTTGAAACATTAATGAGGGCTTTCAGACCAACTTTACTGGAGAGTCAAAGAGTAAAAAATGAGATAATCACTTTGGAATTCAGGTATGAGAAATGTGTGGTGAAGCCAAATCCAGTCTGACTTAACCGAAGACTTTAGGCAAAGAAATAGGTCCAATGTGTTCTACTTCCTGGAAGCTGTTTTCCATGTTATATAAAAGTTCTCACAGCACAATTTGGCACTTGAAGTATTTGAGCAGGGGACAAAATTTACTAAAGAATATATTGCCCTGACTCGTGTAGCTCAGTGAGCTGAGCAACGTCCTGCAAATTGAAAGGTCACAGTTTATATACCCAGTCAGGGCACATGCCTGGGTTGCAGGCTGGGTCTCTGACTGGGGGTGTGCAAGAAGCAACTGACGAATGTTTCTCGTTCACATCAATGTTTCTCTCCCTCTCTCTCTCCCTTGCCCTCTCCCTAAAAAATAAATTTAAAATCTTAAAAAATAAAGTAAAAATAAAAAATATATAAATTAATTACATGACACCATGTGTAATCCGTGACTGACCCCTTGAATTTTTTTTTTTATATATATAGTGTTTGAACAGAAAGCCAGGAATCTCAGTATGAATCAGTCTAGATCTAGATCAGATGATGATGGTGAAGAAACCTCATTTCAAGACCATGATCATCATGAGAATGAGAGATGGCAGCAAGAGCGTCTCCACAGAGAGGAAGCTTATTATCAGTTTATTAATGAACTCAGTGATGAAGATTACCGGCTAATGAGAGACCATAATCTTTTAGGCACCCCTGGTAAGAGATGGGTAAAAGAGGAGACACGTTTTTCATCATCATAAGGAGCAATTACAAAACAAAGATAGCTTTTTTCCCCTTTCTCTCTCCCAAAATATAGTCTACTGTTTCTGTGAATTTAAGAACTTTTTAATATAACAAAACAGAAAATTCACTGGTTTCTATATTTTATAAGTAGGTTAAGAATATTACATATGGAGCACTGTTATACAAATACCAAACTAACAAGCAGATTAATGTACATAATAGTGTCAAATATTTAAATAGATGGCCCTATTTCTATTAAGTAATATTCCTACAAATAAAATTATGGTAGTTGTGTGTCCACTCTCCCCCTACCTGCCTCCCAGCTTATCCACATTTTCTCTTTCTGAGGTTTCAGTTACCCAAGGCAGTACATAAATTTTATGCTATTCTGAGTACCACGATGAAATCTTGTGCCATCCTGCCCTCAGCTTGAACCACCACTTTTGTCCATCGTATCATACTGCTTATGCTACCCACCCATTAGTCACTTAGTAACAGTGTCAGTTATCAGATTAGCTGTGGTGGTATCGTAGTACTTGTCTTCAGGTAACCTTATTTCACTTAATAATAGCCCCAAAGCCATTCACATAAATTTAATTACAGTATATTATCATTGTTCTGTTTTATTGTCATCGTTAATCTTTTACTGTGCCTTATTTAAAAATTAAACTTCCTCATAGATGTGTACGTATAGGAGAAAACTGTATATATAGGGTTCGTTACTATCCATGGTTTCGGGCATCCACTGGGAGTGTTGAAATGTATCCCCCACAGATAAGAGGGGACTGCTGTATTTAAAACTCAATTGGTACTCATTTGAGGTAATATAATTAATTTAGCTGAATTAATAATTGCCAAGAAGTCCAATGTGTTCTATAAAGTTTTTACAAATTTTACAGATGAACTCATTGATACTTGTATATTTGTGTATTATATGTTTATATAGTGCATATTTATGTATTGTATATTGAGGACCCTTACCACTGAACTGTTGAGGTAAAATTCAAGTATATAAAGATTTGAAGTTTTCTCTAGAAATACTCCCTCCTTAATTTCTTTTTAATTCTGATAAAAATTGATGGAATTATAGTTTATGGGTTCCTAAGTGCATTGACTGAGATCAATCTATTAATTTTTCAAATTAAATCGTAATTTAAATAAAATATTAATAAATGAACCAAAATGATGTGTATTTGCATCATTTATTTATTTTTAACTGTCTTTAATTTACAGAACATGAACACAATAAAATGTCTTCTACGGCTAAAGAGTAGTCTTATTCTTCATGAGTTATAATAAAACTTAGTTAATTTAAAGTTTTTAATTTCAGTGAGTAATTTTTCATTATTGTAGGAGAAATAACATCAGAAGAACTACAACAGCGGTTAGATGGAGTCAAGGAACAATTAGCATCTCAACCTGACTTGAGAAATGGGACAGATACCAGAGGTATTGTGGACTCCTTTCCATAAGGAACAAGTTTTATTTGAGCAATTGCAGAAGTGAATTTACTGGATCTTGTACAATATGTTTGTTTTAAATGTTTCCCAGTTTTGATGTGCTACTCAGATAGTAGTTATGTGTTATATGCAAAGCAGTATAATTAGGCAATATAGGACAGGAGTTGAATATAGAGATGTCTTACACAGATTGCCTTCAGGGAGCTTGTATATATGAAATAGTGTACAATTAAGTTAATTTCCAGCATAGTTCTTTTTAATCTTATAATGTACACAATATCTTTATAAAGTAATACAACTAAACCTAGTTTCTAAAAATTTATGCAGAGCAATACAGGAAGACTGAGTCAGGAAACCTGTTTTTCTTGTTTTGTTGTTCTTGTGTTTGCTTTGTCATTTTATTGAACAAACACTAAGTCACAATACAAGAAGTTCTGATAAAAAAAACAAAGTGCTTGTGCAAAGAATTCAAACTGAGCAAAAGGTATATAAAGTTAAAAGTAAAGCCAACTTGATGTCCCTCTTACCAGTTCCACTTCCTTCCCTAGATATATTCATTACTAGTGGTTTCATATGTAATATCAAGAACACTATACTAGTTAGGGCAAAGACTATTAACCAAAAAATGCAATGGCTCAGTGAGTTAGAAGTTTATTTCTCCTTCATGTTAACAGGCTAGGGAAGATAGGCAAATTTTGCTCCAGAAAGCCTCCTGGGACCTGTCTAGCCAGCAGAGTTTCTATAACTGTGCCGTCCACAAGTCCCTATTTAAATTCAAATGAAATTAAAAAAATACAATGCCTCAGTTATGTTAGCCACGTGTGGCTAGTGGCTTCTGCATTGGACAGGATAGATATAGAACATCTCCACTATGACACAAAGTTTTATTGGCTCCAGCTGCTCCAGGGTACTATTTGCCTGATGGAGATAAGTCACAACCATATTTAGGTTGCAGCTGGCATGAAGGAGATACAGGCACGAACCTGAAAGTAAGACATATTCCTATTCCATTGATGAGAACTTAGTGACGTGGCCACATGACCATTACACTGGGAGAAGGGTAAGAAAGATTTTGTTAGATAAATAGTGACCTCTTGGATACACACCCTCATCACTACATTCTAGTAACTAAAGAAAGAAGTAGCATTTAGAATGATTAATGTTTACCTGCCTTTTACTCAGGTCTTTTTCCAAATTAAAATGGAAACTGGGTATTAACCGTTTTCCTATTGTATGTTTAGATATGTAAATTGTACTACCATATTGAAAATATACTTACCACGTGTAAAATAGCATATATATTTAGAATATGGCTAAAGTTGCTGTTTATTTTGACAACAGCAGCTGATTAACAGCTTTAAGTCAACATTTTAAAAAGCTTTTTATGAGAGATTGCACTAATGAAATGAAACCAAAGTAGTCTCATTTAATAGCTGTTTTTGAGTAGAACAAACTTTAAAGTCTATATAGTTAATGTGAATTAGAATACTTTTCATTCAGTTTGTTTATTTTTTAAGTACTTTTTATTGTAATTTTTTATTACCATTCAGTCCCCTTATATCCTCCTCTCTCCTGAGAGTCACCGCACTATTGTCTATTTCTGTGAGTCTTTTTTCCTTTTTGCTCAGTTATTCACTAACTGTAATCCACTGGTTAAATTGGAAAACTTAAGCTTACCATGGTAGCAGAGTCAGAGTCAAAGAAATTTTCCAGGGACACATTTATCTCTAAACTGATTCATTAAGCAATATTAATTGATAGTCTGATTTGTACCAGATACTGTTGTAAGAGGTTGGGGGTTTAATAGTGAATAAACCCTAGTCTTCATGGAGCTTAAATTCTAAATGCATAGAAAATATAATTTATTATATTGCATATAATAGCTAACATTGAGTTTTTCCTGTGTGCCAGGTATTGTACTATTCATTTTATATACAATAGCTTATTTTATCCTCATGATAACTCTGTGACAGCTCTCTCCAATTTATATATAAGGATAGAGCTGTAGAGAACTTAAATAACCTGCCTAAAGTTTCCAAGTTTCACATAAATACAGATAATGTACTTCTAACAATGTATTCAGAAAGCCACATTTCTTTAGCTGTATATTTTTGGCAGTTCCTGAGAAACAGGATAAAGTTCCCAAGGTTACAAAAATACCTAGATGCAAAAACATTTATTGAGTTACCTTTACCAGAGGGATTCCACAAATTTAAATGAATTATATATAAATTTTGCCACTGTATTTTATTAACATTGCCATATAAATGTATAATTTTGGTATGGGAAATATTTTTTATTTGCCTTAGTATTTTGCCAATAATAAGCATATAGAAAGCAGGAGTGAGGGTTTTTTTTTCACAGCTTTGCATAAATAGTATTTAAAGTTTTATAATATATAAGTATGTATTATAATATGCTTATAGCATACACTTTCTTTTAGAAAGTTGGTTTCTTGCCATTTTTCATTCATTAAAATGCACAGATGTTCTTAAATATAATTTAATTTAATAAAAATTTTTTCTTACAAGCTTTCAATTAAAATCTAAGGACAGATTTTAAGAATTTGTCTTAAGTTGATTTGGTTTGCTTCCCAGAGTCAGAAGTCACTAGAGAAAGTTCAAATGAAGATTCTCTGCTAGAATGGTTGAATATCTTTCATCATACAGGCAATGCAATTCGAAGTGGACAGAATGGGAACCAAACTTGGAGAGCTATGAGTCGAATGAACCCTAATAGTGGAGAGTTTCGATTTAGTCTGGAAATCCACATCAATCATGAGAACAGAGGATCTGAAACTCATGATGAAGATTATACAGTCATTCCACTTTCAGACATCAGCAGTGATCATTCTACAAATAGACAGCAAAGATCAGCTAGTCCTGTGGCTAGGCGAACAAGAAGCCAAACCTCACTGAATTTCAGTGGTAATAGTTCCAACATTCGAAGAACTAGGCTTGGCTCAAGAGGGCAAAATTCAGTAGAAGGATCTTTCTCAATGTCAGGAAGATTAAGAAATGAAACCGGGAGAGCAGTTGGCATTCCAAGAAGTAGGGCTCGACGTGCTAATTTCAGTAGTCACACAAACCAGTCAGGTGGTAGTGAAGTGGGGCAAAGGGAGGGACAGCGATTTGGAGCAGCACATGTTTGGGAAAATGGGGCTAGAAGTAATGTTACAGTGAGGAATACAAACCAAGGATTAGAGCCAATAAGATTACAATCTACTTTCAATAGTCGAAGCCGTTCACCAATTCAAAGACAAAGGGGCACTGTTGATCATAATTCACAAAGGGAAGGTAGACCTGTACAACAAACAATTAGAAGGTCTGTTAGGAGGAGAAGTATAACTCATGTCTTCTTAGAACAAGATAGAGCACGCAGAGGTAGAGCATATACCCAATTCTCTAACTCAAGACTTGTGTCAAGAATAACAGTAGAAGAAGGAGAAGAATCTAGTAGATCCACAACTGCTGTACGACATCCAACAATCACCCTGGACCTTCAAGTGAGAAGGATTCGCCCTGGAGAGAGCAGAGATGGGGACAGTATTGCAAACAGAACTCGATCTAGAGTAGGACTCACAGAAAATACAGTCACCATCGAAAGCAATAGCAGAGGCTTTCAACGAACTATTTCTCGTTTAGAGCAGTCAGGTATTCGGACCTATGTTAGTACCATAACAGTTCCTCTTCATAGAATATCTGAGAATGAGCTTGTTGAACCATCCTCAGTGGCCCTTCAGTCGATTTTAAGACAAATAATGGCTGGATTTGGAGAACTGAGTTCTGTAATGGAGACTGAATCTGAGTCAGAGATTCAGAGAAATGGTCAGCATTTATCCGAGATACACTCAGAACTAAGGAACCCTGGTCCAGTGAATGACATCAGCCAGCACCATGGAGCTTCATCTCAGGCCAGGCGAGCCCAAGAAGACAGCACTGGAATGGGTGGTGAAAATGAGACCACACAGCCTCACACACAAAACAGTGATAGAAGTGGTAGGCAGTTGGGAAATCCAAATAACTTAGTGGAAACTGGAACACTACCTATTCTTCACCTTGCTCACTTCTTTTTACTACATGAAGGTAATGGTGATGATCACATACGTGGTTTAAACAAAGAGCAGATTGATAATCTTTCTACCCGGAACTATGATCCTAACAGTATTGACAGTGAACTAGGTAAAATTTGTAGTGTTTGTATCAGTGACTATGTAACTGGAAACAAGCTCAGGCAGTTACCTTGCATGCATGAATTTCACATCCATTGTATTGACCGATGGCTCTCAGAGAATTGCACTTGTCCTGTCTGTCGGCAGCCTGTCTTAGGGTCTAGTACAGCACACAATGGATGAAGTGATGGGTTTATTCAAATACTGCATTTTAGTAGAGCTGAGTATTCAAGCATTCTTTTGTTGAGTTATTTATGAAGAGCTAACCAGGATGAAAAATAACAGATTATTATAGTTTAAACTACTTTTGTATGCCTTTTAAACTTGTTAAAAAGAAAACATGTATATAAAATTTAAAATACAAATGTTAAATTATCCAAAAGTACAGAATAGTTACTATTTCTAGAGCCAAATAACCTTCAAAATGCTTTTATTTTGGTAATTTTGTCATGCTAAGCACATTTGTATATGCTGCACAGTTCAGTACATTAAAAACCAGCCTTGTTTTTCTTAATGGTATAACTGACTCTACTTGGAATTTCACATTCCATAGGCCTAGTACTACTATGTCCAGACATTGGTGTCTAACTAAGACTTTCATGACATTTTTATTCTAAGGACAATATCTTTTTGTGAAAGAGTGTTTGGCTAAATGTTTGCTAAATATATTTAAGTTACTTGAAATGTTAAATTTAATATACAGCATACTACACACACATGCACACACACACATACAGCTCTATAATTTTAAGGTTAAAATATTCAGCCTAAAAACTATCACTTTGGTTTTTACTTAAACTTTTCAGCTAATACTGCATATGGCACAATGTTTAATATTTACAAGATCATCTCTGGGAGAGAGTGGATTAAGATATTTAAAAATAGATAATTTAATGAAGTGTCTCTGACAATCTAATTTACTAGACAGCAAGCAATATAAAATCCTGAACAAGTCTTTCTTTATTATGAAAAGGAACACAGACATTTTAAAATATATAGGTTATTTAACTTGAGTTCAGCCTTTTTGTGCCTTTTTCGAAAGTGCAGACAATTCTTTGAATGAAGTTAAGTAAGGTACACAATATGCATGGATTCTCAGATTTAATTTTAGAGTTTAAGAAATGTCTATAAAGAAGCAAATGCATAGATAATATGTTAAGTTCATTTGGAGCACCAAAAACTCCAAATAAAACAAAACACCCTTAAGAGAATGTAGAATTTATATAAACACAAAGTATGCATTGAAGATCTATTTCTACCAATAAATTTTAAAACAAAGCTGTGTGTGATCTGTTCTATTGTTCCACTGTGGTTTATTCACTTAAAAAAATATCTATTTTGTACCTATTAGGTGCCAGAGACTGTTGGCAGGTGTTGAGAATTCAGCAGGGGACTAAGAGACAAAGACCCTATCTTCACAGGAAGGACATATTTGCTCTTAGAAATCAAAAATCAATTGACAAGATGAATTACTGTTCTGACTTTTATGATATTGTTTTCTTATAGTGATCCTGCTTGGGCAAAATCACAAGAACATGTACCTGAAGGCCAGATTCTGTGAGATTTTGATATATCTCAAGACTTAGTTTTTGTTATTATTAGTGGTTATACAGGGGTGCAAAAGTAGGTCTACAGTTGTGAGTGTGTGAAGCAGTTTATTCTTGTATTATTTATTAATTATTTTATTATTTATTTTTAATAACTGTAAACCTGCTTTTGCTCACCCCTGTATTCAATTCAATAGGTAAGGTGCCTGCATAGGAATTATTGGGGAGTACATCTAATACTTGGAGTGAAAAGTTTTAGTAAAGGTCATGACTTTCTTTGGAGTAAATGATTTATGTAGATAAGTTATGGGACATAGGACTGGGAAGTTTGATTTGAAAGCTTTAAATACCCGGCTATGGAATTTTTACTTTACCTTACAGATTTTAGATGTCTCTTGATGAATTTTAGTGGTGAATGGTGAGATCATTTTTCATGTTTCAGGAAGACTGGTGTGGTACAATGTTCAGAACACAATGGGCTAGAGAGAGATGGGAAGCAAAAAAAAAGAAAGGAACTATTGTGATTAATTATTATCAGATAATTGTTATCATCATCAGTTGTTATTTAACCTAAAATGATGGCAGTAAAACTGGAAAGAGAGAAGTGTGTAAAAATGTTGGACAAAGAAAGACATTTGGTTTCTAGTTCAATATGAGGAGGTGGGAGAGTCATATATTCACAGATGGAGAATAGCCTGAGTGAAGGAGGGTGAAAGCTATGCCAGTTTAGATATGTATTTTAAACATAACCTTATTCACATATCTCATTCATTTCAGTGTTACCATGTGACAAAAGACTAAATCTAGCATTTATTGCTCATATGAAATATTCTTCAGGAAGTTCTACCTCCCCTGGCCTGATCAGTTAGGAGAACAAAGAAAGGGGGAAATGAAAAAAGTAGGGGGAAAAGAAAGCACATTCTTTGTTTGACTTAGTTCTTTGCAAGACATGGTAGGACAAGCATGTGAAGAGATCCCAAATAGACATTTGAAATAGAAGTAGATGTGTACTAAATGGAAAATTTCCTGAAGGAAGCAGGAAAACTTAATGGATTTTGTAAATTGATATCCTAGTTGGGAACAAAGAAGTGTTTTCTTTAGTATTTTTATTCATTTCTCAGTAAACAAGGCTGATGACAAATACAAATTCTCATTATTTATTTATAGCTTCTATTTGGCAATGATTGTACCATTTGTGGTTCCAATATAAAAAGGAACAAATATTGCAGTTTAACATTTTTCGTTTGACTATTATGTTCCGTGTCATGAACTTAGAACTTCCCTTTATATTGTGGCTGTCTTACAAATATCTGTTTCTAAACTGTCAACTCCCCAGTTGTTTTCCCATGTTTTATATCCTTTTACCCTATTTCCCAGATTTTTATAGTTTCCGCTAGCATTGTTATGACCCATACTTGATTATCTTTTATCCACTCTTATGAGGTTATTTTCAATGTTTAATATGAATTCATAATTTAAGCCTCCCCAAGATCTCCTTGAAGTATCATTGCTACTTAACACGGTACGTGGCAGAGTTGAAAGAGTCAATCACAGGACCATTTGTTCTCAAAGCTTGTGCGCTTCCCACAGCACTGCATTCTGGAGAAGCAGAAGTGCCTTGGGAAGTTTTCAGTCTAATTTACTCCTCCTTAAAGATATTTTTTCTGATTTTATAACTTTGTTACATCATATCTTTGTGATTACCCTAATTTCCACATGCAAACATGTCCTTTCTGTATCATGATTGAAGAGAAGAGGATTGATCCTGAAAGACATAAAACAGAAACTGTATTTTAAGGAGGAATCCAGAGAAGAGATGAGTGAGGCATGTGATGATGATGTGTTAAGGACCAGGGTTAATAAGCTGACTCTGGGGCATTTTCATGAATATTCTTCCCAGACAAGAATTTATAATGAACTTCTAACCTTTCGGTTGCTCTCCATTTGAATAATCTCTGGCCAGAGGAGCACTCTACATGAAGGGGATAGTTAGTATTACCTTGGCATTGGCAGCAGGCTCATTTGGGATCTCTCCCTCAATCTTGTGTAACATTGGAAATCAGAGAGCTGGGATATTTGTTAACAGATACAGGAAATGATTTCCTAGGAAGCCAGACTCATCTATTCATAGAGGAGGCCAATGTTCTATGTTCCAAAGCACATGAGTGTCAGTGGTGGTCATCTCTTCAATCTCTAAAGACAGACTGTGAGATCTTTTCAGTAATGATAAGTGTATTAGGCCCTGGATATATCTGCCCTTATGATAATTAGTGGTGAATTACTTTCAGCAAGTTTTTTTGTTTGTTTTATTTCAAGTAGTAAATCTCTGAAGGCTCTGAGTTGGCCCCCATACTTTTTTTTTTTTTTTTGGCAAACATTTTTTTTTCTGGAAAATAAAAGACCATTCTTAGATGTATTTTTCCTCCACTGTATTAATGTCTTATTTGAAGATGGAGTTACCACTTGGTGTACTAGTACATATGCACCCCTTCTCACACATTTAATTGCAAAAATGCTCCTACCGAACCATGATCCAACTGTCTTCTGAACAATTCCACACATTTTCACACTCTCTCCAACGGAAGATCATCCAAATTGACTTAGAGTTTCTGTATTTTGAAGTGAAACAGTATAGTCACTCTTCTGAGTCCTGGATAGTGTCTTTTCCTCCATTAGCTAGGATTTGATCAGATTTAATCGTCACTTCTCACCATCCCATTTATGGGATAAATGATAAATGTAGCTTCAATCTACCAGGTAAGGTAAAGTAGAATAAAGATCAAACTAAAAGGAGAAAAGTGTCACTGATGACGTTGATTACTGGTACAGAATATACACCACATCTTGCTGAGTAAGCTTAGTAGGATGAATGATAGGAATAGTGAGTCTCATAAACATCTCTTTGTTGACTCACTTTTCTGAATGTAGAGTAGTTGTTTGGCCAACCAGTTTGTCTGGTCTAGATCCTAAGTTAGGGCCACCTTCAGAAAGGCACTGAGGGAAGATTCCCCTGTTGGTGGTGGTGGATGGGGACGGGGGCGGGAGTGGGAAGGTTTGAGGAGATACCTGTGATCTTAGCACTTTGATGTGAGTGATTGGTTCAGGGACTGCTGTGGTGTTGAACAGCCATAGGTCTCTGTATAATAGGTTAGGGGCTTTTTCGACAATACAACTTCTGAAAACTTTAATTAGCTTCTTAATTTCATTTGGGGTCTTGTATCCATTTCCAAAGATCTTGTAAAATATTATTCTTGATTTGCTATAAGGAATAGTCATGGCCCTTATAATATGCTTAGGTTAGTTTTTTTGTTTTTTGTTCTCTTAGCATTTTCTTAGAAGGATCTTTCTATTGCTCTAATTCTTAGCCAAATAGATTTTGCTTCTGGCATAGTTGAGAACCTTTTAAAATCATTCCTTGAGTGTCACCCTTGTCTCTTTGCTATATTTCAGACAAGCATACCCTACAATAGGAAAGAGGAATTCATGTGTGTCTGCAGGATGAAGCAGAATGACCTTTCCACTCTGACCAATCAGGGTCAAGTCACATGACCAGTCCACTGCAGCCATTTAGATTGGGACGGGTGCTTTTACATTTTTGTTCCAAACACTGAATTACCTGGTGTTCCTGGTAACTCC